TGTACATCAGAAAATGCGCCTTGAGGCATGGAACATATGTACCAAATATGCCAAAGATGTCTACAAAATTATCTCGGTTATTATTAAAAAACTGATTATTTTTTAAAACTTTGCCACCCTGTATCTCAAAAGTTACGGCGTTTAGGACATACGTCCATAAGAAGTTTTTTTCTTAAAATGGGTCTAAGAATTACCTCCTTAAATATTAGCATGTGTTTCAGGAACACCCTGTATATTCGCCTTAAATTAATGGGAAGGTGATTAAATAACTTCTTGCTATTGAAAATAATAGAATTTTGTGTAAGGGCTAGAGAAGGTGTGGGAAGGGAAACGAGTAAGACTGACGTGTACTATAAGTTGAGGTAGTATTAAATTGATTTTTATATTTTTTGTGGATAAGACACTGTTTCCAAAATAAAAAGACGTACTAAGGTCAGAATTTTTTGCTTCACAAATAATGGGCGGCATGAATCCCTGTAGCTAGCCTTGCATAAATACCTGATGGATCTTTTTTGTAGAGAGAATACCATATTGAAACGAAATTTTGCACAATTTTCCCAGAAACAAATTCCATAACGTAAATAGAACTCAATTTTTGCAAAATAAACTGATTTTGTGATAGTAGTGTCTAACTCTCTTGCAACAACTCTTACTGCATGACATGCTGCTGCTAGTCTTTTACATAAGTAGTTGACATGGGAATCAAATTTTAGATTTTCATCAATGAAGAGGCTTCAAATTTTGTTTTTCTCCAAATTTTCAATTTTTACATTTTCCAAGTGTACTTCCCCTATTTGTTTTATCGATGTTGAATGATAAAAGATTGGAATCACACCACTCTTTAACCCTTCTTATGTCGACGATGATTTGATCAAGTAAATTGGAGGCGGTATTGCTATGCCAGAGGATAGTGGTGTCGTCAGCGAAACATGTGAATTTACCACTTATGTCAACATGGACCAAGTCATTGACATAAATGAGAAACAACACTGGTCCCAAAACGGAACCTTGTGGAATCTCTATTATTGCATGGAAGCTGGAGCTGCCCATTTTGAGCATATGTTAACATGAGAATAAAGTAACTTCAACTCTAAATTTAATATGGTTCGTCCAAATAAAAAAAGTGTACACCGTTGTTTAGAGAATTCCATGATATTTCAAACAATGTGCGACTCGCCCCCAGTTCCCTATTAAAATTCCAAGGGTTGTTCACCCTTCTGCTCCGGTAGAGTGACGACGCTGTAAATGGGAAAAAAACTGTCCCCCTACCAATAAAAATCGACCTGTCTAAGCGTTTTTTTTAGAATTTGAAAGATTAGTACCCAAAACCTCCATGTCAAGTTTTCCATGGCCCAACCTGTATAAAATAAATAATGTAGGCCCCCTAATATAGATCCTTGTGGAACTCCTAATGCATTTATAGCCATTGATGAGAAAACGAACCTCCCTAATTCATACTTTCAATAAAAAACACTTGAAATGTCTTTGAGTCAGAAAAATGTTACAAAAGTGTTACAAACTTTTCACAGAAGGTCGTGTCGATGTGAATGACGACGCTCTAACCTAACATTATGATGATTTTCGAAAACTGAAACAATTTGGCCTCATTTGAATCTTTTTATTTTTCAGATGAGGCGATACTCGGTAGTGGCCATGTCACTCCAGATTTATCCCATTTGTCAATGGAAGAAAAAGCTGAACAAGAAAAATTGTGGCAAGAAGAACTTGCCCAAATTGAAGATGAAATTGCAACTCTTAGGACTGTATTGACATCAAAACTTAGAAGAAGTGCTGAACTTAAGCGTAACTTGGGCATTACTGTATGGAGGGAGGTGTCTGACGACATTAATCAGGGGATAAAGAATGTCAAGGAAAGCAACGTGTGAGTTTTTCTTCTCTTATGTATGTATAAACACAAAATTCACTAGAAATTTGTTGAATTCAATTCTCGTTTACTTTCCTGTCGATATAAATTATTATCTACCTATTCTGGTTCCAAAAAATTGAAACTTTTTAATATCCTAAAAAAGTAGGTGTAATAGAAAAAAAATGCTTCTTATTTCGGTTATTTTTGAGACTGGCATTATTGATTTTTTTTGGATCAACATAGGTGATATTGATTTCAATAAATACGAGTATTTGACAGGACGGCGCTCAAAAACTTCAAATTGATTTTTTTTAAACGTTTATTATACAGGGTGTCACTAAATGAGGGTAAAATATTTAAGGAGGTGATTCCTCATCGAAAAAAGATAGGATCTTTCATATAAAGAAATTTAATTGGAGCATCCCTTGTTAAGATACAGCCCCTTAAAGGGGGTACATAAAATTTGTATAACAATTTTTTTCACAAGCACTGAAAAAGTTACAATATTGAAATTAACCTGACGTTTTGTACTACCAAAAAGACCTTTGAATTTATTATTTTTAACTGTTAAAATTTGAGTATTTTGATAATCCATAACATGATCTGAAGAGATAACATGTTCAGCTAGTCCACAGGAACGTTTGTTTAGTCTGCAGTCACTTTTATGTGAAGTGATTCTTCCTGATAGATTACGACTGGTCTCACCAATGTAAATTGAATTACAAGAAGAACATGGAATACTATACAGTGTGTAACAATGAAAACCCTCCTCGGAGGGGTGCGTCCGACGACCCTTATTTAGATAGGGAAAGTAGGTCGAGTGACACCTTGTTTTAAAGGTCTTTCGAATACCTTTACAACTCTGTTGAAAGAAAATTTTTGTAACGATTAGTTTTCAAGATAATTTGAAGTTAAAATTGCCATGTTAATAATACATTAGACAGACCACTCGGCAACTTGTATGCCTAAATAAAAAACTTTTCGAGCAGTTCTTCTTATCAGTTTTTTTAAAATCAATACCCACACCTCTTCTTCCAGTTTTCATTGGTACATCGTTCGATTGTTTTGTTTAAACGGGTCTTGTATTGTTATTTGTTTAAAAATGCCTTACACTGCTGAAAGGGTTTCAGTTATTGCTTTATTTTTTGGCAACGACCAAAATGCTCATAGAACATCAATTTTATTCAACGAGCAAAACCCTGGTAAACACCTAAGCAGAAATCACGTTCTGGATTTGGTCACAAAATTCAGGGAGACAGGTTCGGTTTTAAATAAGAAAAGAAATGTTTAGAGAAGGGTAGTGAATGACGATAATGCGATTGGAGTGATTGGTCAAGTCATCGCCAATCCCAGGTTAAGTACCAGAGGTTTTTCAGCAATGGCCGGAATAAGCCATATGAGCGTATGGAGAATCCTTAAAAACCACAAATTCCATCCTTACAAAAATAAACTTGTTCATGAACTCAATGAGGATGATTTTGACCGAAGACAGGAGTTTTGTGAGGGCATGAGTGAGAGATTAATGCAAAATCCCAAGCTGCTTTATAACATCTGTTTTTCAGACGAAAGCTCTTTATTTAAATGGTTGCGTGAACCGTCACAATTACCGTTATTGGTCGGATGAAAACCCAAGACAATACGCAGAAATACATACCCAACATCCCCAAAAGTTGAATGTCTGGGCGGGAATATTAGGCAATCATATTATAGGTCCATTTTTCATTGATGGAAATTTAACCGGTGATTCTTATTTACAACTTCTTGAAGAGGCAATACAACCTCGTATAGTTGAAATAATTGAACAGGATCCAAGATGTCAAGATGAATTTATCCATTTTCAACAAGACGGTGCACCACCCCATTATGCCCAGCGGGTTCGAAATTTTTTGAATAATCATTTTGAAGGACAATGGATTGGCAGAAGAGTTCCAATTGAATGGCCAGCACGATCACCAGATTTAACACCACTGGACTACTTTTTGTGTGGATATTTAAAGTTTAAAGTTTATGCTACAGAGCTAGCCAAATTGGATGAATTACGTTGTAGAATTATTGATGATTGCCGAGCTATAACTTTATTGTGGCATGGAGCAAAATGGCGCATATTTTGAACATTTACTCTAAATTTCCTATGTGAGTTACCCTTATTAGGTGTTACTTTTTTGTGTGTGTTTTAAAAACATTTATTGGGATTTATTAACCCTAAAACAGTTTTTTAAACTTTTTTGTGTCATCAGCATCCAAGGAAATCGGCAGGTTGTATTCGTTGTGTAGGTAAGTTTTTAGTATGACTCACTTTTTTATCAGAAGCATAAAATATCCACGTCAAAAGGCAACCTTCATAAGGAGGTGCCACTCAATTTACCTAAAATGTAAGGAGGGTGGTAACCAACCCCATCCCCCGAAAATATCTCCTATAATTCTTACTTTTTTACCAAATCAAATGGACACGTATTAGCAGGTTGTCATAAAAAGCAAAAATTAATTTTTTTTATGAAAGTTCTGAACGTAAATTGTACCTTAAAAACAATTTGATTTATTTTAAAACGAGTTGAACTCAATAAAAATACCTTTAATCTTCAAATTATCTCGAAAACTAATCGTTACAAAAATTTTCTTTTAACAGAGTTGTAAAGGTATTCGAAACACCTTTAAAACAAGGTGCCACTCGACCTACTTTCCCTATCTAAATAAGGGTCGTCGGACGCACCCCTCCGAGGGGGTCCGTACTACAAAAAATCTGATTAGTCTGAAAGGTGTCCCCCTTTAATTAGAAATCGACGTGTCCGAGCTTTTTTTAAAAATCTTACTTTTTATATTCAAAAACGGCTCTGTTAAGTTTTCGTTGTTACACACTGTATATAACATTAGATTTTTCTTTGTTGCTGAGAGGGGTTTTGATTTTAGAATATAGGGTTGAAATTGTTTTATAAATCTTGGTAGAAATTCTAATACTTTTTACGTCACGAAATATATTAAGTAACTTAGGGGTTAAATTTGGAATATATCTTATAGAATAATTATATATAATTTGATTATTCTCATTAGAAAAAGGATTATCTGTTTTGGAAATTTCATAACTAATCGTGAGGTTAGGGTAGATAAATTTGGATAACTTGAATTAAGATTGAATTTGGGTGAGTTGAATAAATATTTATTCAAAAGCTTAGGAGGATATGAATTTACCATTAAATCATTTTTATTATTTAATGAATTATAGTGAAAAAACAGGATTAGATGATTTTTATCTAGCCAGAATATTTTATACCATTAATGAAAAGTTCACAATTGACTGTTTGCCCATATTGATTATTCTACTCCATCACTAAACGGATACCCCTCTTTTTTTTTACAAAGATGGAGAAGCAGAAAACCCAAACCTTTCTTTACATTATTGATCCCAGATTGTGAATGGCCCTGATAAATATGACAAAAAAGTTTCTAGTTATCCATCAAGCTGTATCTGATATCAAAAAAGTTACAGCATATTCATTTCATGTATATTCTGAAGTTATGCTGGTTGATAAACTCGATTTCCAAACCTTCCACTCACTTGAATATTCACTTTCTGGTCCAAAATAACAATTTGATAGTCCATTGAAGTTTCTTTTGTTTGAGGCAGGGTAATATCACATGCAAGTTAATGATACTCAGTTCGCACAGTTGATGAAGTGAATTTTCATGTGATGCAGACAATTACTGCAGATAATTTACAGGATGAAATATACAGGTGCTTCAGGCTACTGGCTTCAAGCTATCACTATCTCTTCAGAATGTAATGACCGATGCGAAAACTCGCTTATTGAGCATTCAAGATGCAAAAAACTACTGTGTATGATTTACAATACAGGATATATAGGTGTTTTAGACTAATAGCTTCAGGCTATAAGCAACTCTTTAGAATGTAATGACCGATACAAAAGCTCGCTTGTTGAGTCTACAAGACGCTGACAATTACTGTAGATAATTTACAGAATGAAATACACAGGTGCTTTAGGCTACTGGCTTCGTGCTATTAGCATCTCTTCAGAATGTAACGATCGATACAAAAGCTCGCTTTTTGAGTCTACAAAACGCTGACAATTACTGTAAATGTTTTACAGGATAAAATATACAGGTGCTATAGGCTACTGGCTTCAGGCTATCAGCATCTCTTCAGGATGCAATGACTGATGCAAAAACTCGCTTATTGAGTCTTCAAGATGCAAAAAAACTGCTGTGGATAATTTACAGGACAGAATATATAGGTATTTTAGGCTAATAGCTTCAGGCTGTAAGCAACTCTTCAGAAAGTAATGAACGATACAAAAGCTCGCTTATTGAGTCTACAAGTGGCAGACAATCACTGCAGATAATTTACACGATGAAAAACACAGGTGTTTCAGGTTACTGGCTCAAGACTATTAGCATCTCGTCAGAATGTTGATGACCGATACAAGAGCTCAATTAATTAGTCTACAAGACGTAGGCAGACAGACAACTACTGTGGATAATTTACAAGAAGAAATATACAGGTGTTTCAGGCTACTAGCTTCAGGCCATAAGATCTCCTCGGAATGTAAGGATCGATATAAAAGCTCGCTTATATAATCACATGCCAGTTTAGTTCGATGTTTAGTTCGATTTCCCACTTAGAAATCAAATACAAACTCTAAATTGTTTTCTGACATTGCTCATCGTTGTAATAAATAAAATATTACAGGGTTGATAACAAAAATGGAAATAGGTGTCACTTGACTCCTATCTCCATCTGGAATTTTTGACATGTGGGTTGTTTCCTTGGAAATTTCATTTGTCGTATTCCAAGTTTATCCATAGTCTCAATATCAAATGAGATGGTGGCTTGTACCAACTGGAATGAACTGTATGCCACCGTGAATATTTCAGAACGAAAAATCTCATAATAGTGTGGCTATATGCAAAACTTTGGAAAAAAGTTTTCCGAAATGATGTATTCCGAAAACTGTTATGCACAAATGATGTTATGAGATGGATAAAAGATAGACACAAAGTGAAAAT